ATTCATTTACTCGCCGATCCACTGTTGGCATTGTGCATGGAGTGGTCTTGCCACTAACGGAGGCGTCAGCGCACCATCCATAATATAACACCACAGAAATTCTCCGTTAATAACTCGGTAGAAAATGTATTCTATAACATCCTTCTTTAGATAGACGCTGTCAAACATTCAGCCCAAATGCTCCGGAAAAGCCTGAAACATTTATTTTTCCCTATATGACACTTAATTGGTGATTCCTCTTTATTTAAGGATGTTGCATATTATTCTGTGATCTTAGGTAAAGGCAAGTGTTAAGTATTTTAGCACATAAGAGCAAGTAATAAAATATAGCCTATATTTCGTTGCGCTTAGCAGCTATTCACTAATAAAGCTCTTCATGTATTCAAAATGTCATTTTTTAATTTTATCACGTCATATAAAAGCATAAACACTTGTTTAAGGACACAGAGCACATTTTGTGTTTGCAGTTTTCCCAGATGCGTTTGTAAAGAGGCGCTGCGCAGGACTGAGTGGCTGAAAAAAGGTAGACTAGTTTCTGCTTTCACTCACCCAAAAATGCTCTGATTGCACAATTTGAATAATATCGTATCCAAATACTTTACAGGACTCAACAATAAGGACTGCCCGGGGCCAACTTGAAAGACACTCGGGACAGTAGACAGGATTTTTACTGACCCCTATCGGCCAGTAACGATGAGCACCTTTTTTTTGTACCCTGGTAACAACTAGTACAGCGAAAAGATGGCAACATGGTGGCAAAATTAAACAATGAGGCTAAAAGAAAACATCTGTTTCTAAAGTCTTAGAAGCAGACAATTACATGGGTACAAAATTAAGAAACTGAAAAAAAGAACAAAAAAAAAAAAACAGTTGTCAGTTTGGCAAGCCATTTTTATAAAAATGTAGAATTGCATTAAAATACCAGCACATTTTTCATACTGCTCTTTCGCATAAAATCTTGAATTTTGCTCATTATACATTTATTAACATATTTAAAATGTTTAAATTCTAGATTCACAGGCATAATTTTGCCACCATTTAAAATATGTGGCTTAGAAATAGATATTAACTTTAGTTTTTTTGGTGGGGCCAGTGAAAATTTTGGCAGGGCAAGTAAAAATCTTAACCAATGGCCCGATCGGACCCGTATAAAAAATCGTTAGAGTTGAACCATGCTTTATAAGTAATATTTTAAACCTCCTCAGGTGTTTGTTGGTTTTAGAAAATATCTAAAATCTTTTGTTTTAGATAGGCCTTTTGTTAACTGAAAGTTCTATATGGCTTTAAAATGGTTTGATGTATTGTATACCCAAATTGTTATTGCTAGCTTTTGTTTTATCCAATATTTGTAATTGTTTAAATGATTTCAGTATAGCTTTGGCTATTTGATCAAGATTTGACACTATTGTTTTGAAGTGGACACGTAATTTAAGTTTTATGTTTTTTCTGTTGTATTCATTTAGTGCAGGGGTGTCAAACTCAATTCCTGGAGGGCCGCAGCCCTGCACAGTTTAGTTCCATCCCTGCTCCAGCACACTTACCTGTAGGTTACAAACAAGCCTGAAGGACTCAATTAGTTTGATCAGGTGTGTTTAATTAGGGTTGGAACTAAACTGTGCAGAGCTGCGGCCCTTTTGGAACTGAGTTTGACACCTGTGATATAGTGTATTATCTCCAAAATAAATAAAAAAGGCGCTTTTTTACACAAAAATCTTAAAAATGACCAAAAACTTGCATATTTCTAATACGAAAAGCTTTAAGTGCAGTCCATGTGAAGGAAAGGATGTGGTAGGCCAAGAAAAACATAAGTAAATCAAAAGCTAAGAGTATCAGATGGTGTCACATGAAACAGCTCAATGGAAAAACGAGAAGGAAAAAGCCATTTCTGCCATACCATCAGGCAGAGGTATGCAAAGGACAAGCCCCGACTCTTGCAATATGAAACTGAGATGTATTCATCTGATCACAACCTGAAGTGTTTTGCATGGTAAAACGAGAATACTTATAATATTAGATAAAAATAGATTAGCACCTCCTCCCTGCTGTAAATGTTAATGGCTGATCCATCATGGTCAGTGTGGGCAATGCATGTATGATATGAGGACATTTATGCTGGAGAATCACCATGTTTATTAAAGTCCACATGAATTGTAAGTTGCTATGACTTCCTTTATTCATTTTTCCTTCAGCTTAGTCCCTTATTCATCAGGGGTTGCCACAGTGGAATGAACCGCCAACTATTCCAGCATATGTTTTACACATGGATGGCCTTCCAGAGGGCTAATAATTGTTACTTCAACTGTATATGTCTCTTTACTCATAGCTGATTAGTATAGTTTGGGTTTGAAAAAAACCTAACCAATTTTTAGTTCGAGTTATGATGCTTATTTAGGGTGTGAAAACTTTTGCATGAACTCGAGTTGGAGTGTCTGTAAATGATTGAGCTTTACATATAAGGAATGAATTTGTCTCTGAATGTCTTTTATATTAGGAATATTCTGGTTTTGGCAAGCTAACATGGTTTTAGATGAGAAGCGTGCGGTCGAGTGCTGAGGATTGCTTAGATGTTTTCTCTGTGAAAGCAGAAACGCACACATGCACGATACTGTTTAGAATTAAGCAGGAACAGAAACTGAGCTTGTGTGTGTTTCTGTGCATGATCGTCACACTTCAGTGGGTTATTGTATATTTTTAAAGTGTTGTTATTTGTGTATGAACTATTTATTATATATGTTAGGGCTGCTCGATTATGAGACAAATAATAATGATAATAATTGTAATTATGATTATTCAAAATGATTACTGTTGTTAATTATTCGCCCTTCCGAGATTTTTTTTTCCTTCTTTTTTATATATATATATATTTCCCAAATTATGTTTAACAGAGGTTTTATTTGTATTATTTCGGCTAAAATAAAAGCAGGTTTAAATATTGTAAAACCTATTTTAAGGTCAATATTAATAACCCCCTTAAGCAATATATATTTTGATTGTCAGCATAAGAAAGTGGTTATACAATGACTGGCTTAATTACCCTAATTAAGTCTTTGAATCGCACTTTAATCTGAATGCTTGTATTTAAAAAAAAAATCTAGTCCAATATTATGTGCTGTCATCATAACCAAGATAAAATAAATTTATTATTAGAAATGAGTTATTAAAACTATTATGTTTAGAAATTGGTTGAGAAAATCTTTCCATTAAACAGAAATTGGGGGGAACTGCAGTGCGGTTCTGATTAATGGTTTCACTTTCACAAGTCTTCTGATTCTCAACTCTGTTGTTTATTACGCAAATGAGGGTTAATATGAATAACCACTAAACACCGCGTTTTGACACCTATTTGACCATTAAAGCATACCTGTCAACATTGGGATGTGAAAATAAAGGCTAATAATTCTGACTTAATGTGTGTGTGTGTGTGTGTGTGTGTGTGTGTGTGTGTGTGTGTGTGTGTGTGTGTGTGTGTGTGTGTGTGTGTGTGTGTGTGTGTGTGTGTGTGTACACAGTTAAAGTCAAAATTATTAGCCCCCCCTTTTTTTTTTTTTTTTTTTTTTTTTTAATATTTTCCAAATGATGTTTGAGAGCAAGATTTCACAGTATGTCTGATAATATTTTTTCTTCTGGAGAAAGTCTTATTTGTTTTATTTCGGCTAGAATAAAAGCAGTTTTTAATTTTTTAAAAACCATTTTTGGGACAAAATTACTAGCACATTTAAGCTAATTTTTTTTCCCGATAGTCTACTGAACAAACCATTGTTATTTAATAACTTGCCTAATTACCCGAACCTGCCTACTTCACCTTATTAACCTAGTTAAGCCTTTAAATGTCACTTTAAGCTGTATAGAAGTGTCTTGAAAAATATAAAGTAAAATATTATTTACTGTCATCATGGCAAAGGTAAAATAAATCAGTTATTAGAGATGAGTTATTAAAACTATTATGATTAGAAATGTGCTGAAACAATCTTCCCTCCATTAAACAGAAATTGGGGAAAAAAAAAATAAACGCTAATAATTCAGGGGGGCTAATAATTCTGACTTCAACTGTGTGTGTGTGCGTGTGTGCGCGTGTGTGCGTGTGTGCGTGTGTGCGTGTGTGCGTGCGTGCGTGCGTGCGTGCGTGCGTGCGTGTGTGCGTGTGTGCGTGTGTGCGTGCGTGCGTGCGTGCGTGCGTGCGTGCGTGCGTGCGTGTGTGTGTGTATAATATGGTGCATGTCAGAACTAGTAGATACAGAATAAGTAGGAGCAAAAATCTTTGATTTGTATTTTTAAAAAAAAATTATATCTATACACAAATAATATCTATACACAGTGAGTAGACTTGTATTATGTAAGTGGAAACCTTTTATTTTGGATACGATTAATTGTTTGACAGCTAAGTTTTTCTTATAAAATGATTCTACTGAATGATGATAGGACATACTTTTTCAGAATAACCCATTTTAATAAATCTATTGCTATTTTATATCATCAAAATGTATTTATTTTAAATTATTTTTTGCAGTATGGGTGGCACGGTGGCTTAGTGGTTAGCACTGTAGCCTCAAAGCAAGAAGGTCACTGGTTTGAGTCCCTTCTGGGCCAGTTGGCAATTCTGTGTGGAGTTTGCATGTTCTCCCCGTGTTGGCATAGGTTTCCTCCGAGTGCTCCGGCTCCTCACAGTCCAAACACATTTGATAGAGGGGAATTGAATAAGCTTAATTGTCCATAATGTATGAGTGTGAATGAGTGTATGGATGTTTCTTAGTACTGGGTTGCAGCTGAAAGGGCATCCACTGCATAAAACATGCTTGATAAATTGCCGGTTAATTCCGCTGTGGGGACCCCTGATTAATAAAGGGATTAAGCGGAAGACAAATAAGTGAATAAGTGTTATTACGCAGTCACTGAAATTAGTGTCTTCAGTAACTGTATGTACATAAATATTGCTTTAGATAAATTAATTTACTTGGGCTTGATTGCCATGTGATTAATCATGATGGGTTTGTTTATTTCAGGACGATTCGGGTTTGGCTGAAGCGAGACAGTGGACAGTACTGGCCCAGCATTTACCACACTGTGTCCTGTGAGTATCATAGCCTCTCAAAAAAAACTGTTATAAAAGATCAAAATTAGAGACGTTCCACATAATGTTCATGCTGTTCTTGTACAATAGCAGACAATAGAGACAAAAAGAGCGTCATTAACACTTCTCGCTTATGTACTGTATCCCCAATGTCTAAAAGCCATACAATTCATTTGAGATCAATGTTTAAATCAGTAGGTTTAATTCAGTGTACGCAGGTGGCAGACTCTCTGAACGTCATCAGTTGTGAAGAAAAGTAATAAATAAAGAAATATGCTACATTTTAATACGTCTTCATGTGCAATGGTATGGTCACTATGGTAACTCTTTCTGTTGCCATGGCAATTATATCATCTTTTCATATGTCATATATACGTACTCCCCAGTGACGCCAGTAAGTGTGTGACTGCGTTTTTGCTTGAGCTTCTTTATGACCGGTGTTGAGTGCGAATTGAGAATTGAAGAGACTTTGTTCAGAAACTTTTATTTGTGTAATAATATAGTAATTTAGCTAGATTTTTAATAATTTTTTTAACAATTTTATGTGATTTTGTTGGTATTTTTATTATTTTTGTTGTTGTTATTATTATTAGTATTATTATTAGTATTATTTTGAATATTATTTGAACATTATTATTATTATTATTATTATTATTATTATTGTTATTATTATTATTTTGAATATTATTTGATTATTATTATTATTATTATTAATTATAATTTTTAATATTATTTGAACATTATTATTATTATTATTATTATTATAAATATTATATTAAATATTATTTGAACTATTATTATTATTATTATTATTATTATTAAATATTATTTGATTATTATTATTGTTATTATTATTATTATTATTAATTATAATTTTTAATTTTATTTGAACATTATTTGAACATTATTATTATTATTATTAATATTATATTGAATATTATTTGAACATTATTATTATTATTATAATTATTAGTATTGATGACCATATTTTTATTATTATTATTATATTTATTATTATTAATGATATTTTTATATTATTTTAACATTATTATTATCATTACTATAATTAATATTTTTAATATTATTTGAACAATAATTTTATTATTATTAATATTTTGAATATTATTTGAACATTATTATTATTAATAATATTTTGAATTATTTGAACATTATTATTATTATTATTTTGAATAATAATTGAACATTATTATTATTATTATAATTATTATTATTATTATGTTATTATTTTGAATATTATTTGAATGTTGTTATTATATTATTATTATTATTGTTATTAATCTGCGTGTGATCTTTTTTTTCTGTATTATGATGAAGTTCCTAAAGAAACTGAATTATTACATTGAAAAGCAGTGGGTGTGGCTTGTTTTTTTTACTGTGAGCTGATTGGATGTAGTTAAGAAGGCATTTAATTCAGAAAGATGGCGAAAAGAGTTTGTGGAGTTATTATTCAATTGAATTCAAGTTTATTTGTAAAGCGCATTTCACAACAATTGTTGTTTCAAAGCAGTTTTACACTCTGAAATATTATTATTATTATTATTATTATTATATCAAAATTTTATATTAGTTATCATAAGTATATTAGCAACATGAATTCTTCGAAAGCATGCTGGAATCAAAAAAATTAAATCATAAAATAGTATTTATTAACAAATAGGTATATACGAGATAAAATGTTTAATTTAATAGTTTATTCATCTATTTATTTTTAATATTGTAATAAAAATGCAGTCGGAAAATTAGGATATCTGAAATGTTAAAGTATGCACATTTACAAGGTTTTTATTTAATTATACTAATTATAAGGCGAATGAAGCTCTGCACAAGACTTTTGGCCAGCGGAGAAATTAAAATGGTCGTGCCCAACTGAGTCTGGTTCTCTCAAGGTTTTTTTTCTTCACTCCCATCAGGTGAAGTTTTTTTTCCCTCTCCGCTGTCGCCACTGCCTCGCATGGTTCAGGATTGGTAGAGCTACGCATCGATGAATTGGCTCTTCAGTGTTTGAACTCTCAGTAATGATTAAATCACACTGAACTGAGCTAAACTGAACTGAACTTAAACACTAAAACCTGAACCACACTGTTCCAGTTACTGAACCACACTGTTCCAGTTACTATGACCATTTATGTGAAGCTGCTTTGACACAATCTACGTTGTAAAAGCGCTATACAAATAAAGCTGAATTGAATTGAATAATATTATTTCAAATACCATGTAGTTAATAAATAAGGATTATACAGCTTAAAACAACAAGTAAATACTATATAAAATAATTTAATGTCAAATTAAATACATTTTACGAATAAGGATATCTGTAATTAATGTTTATTGTTTCAAATGGAAATAAACTAACTTAATGACTAACCAATAAACAATTTTTAATATATTATTATTATTATTATTATTATTATTATTATTATTATTATTATTATTATTATAATACCCCTTCAAGTACAGCTGCTAACAGTCATTTTATGAATGACGTCATCCATCAGAGCGTAAACATCAGCTGACCGGGGCTTCCGCCTTTCCTCTCAACCTAACAGTTACCTCCTGCTCACCATTGTCAACACTGGCAGCTGAAGGGGTGTGGTTAAGCATATTAGCCCCGCCCAATTCCTCAGGCAGACATAATCTGAGAATTTAACTAAAAACAAACAGGAAGTGCATTTTCTGATTTCAACTCTAGATTACACAACAAACCCTTTTTTTTCTTAGCGATATGCACAGATGAATTATTTACCTCAAAACTAGCAATGTGAGCTAACCAAATCAATACGGTTAGCTTTGATTTCATGTGTTTTGTCTAATATATGCACCTAATTAAATTCAAGGTTTTACTCTGGTGTTTAAATGTAAATGCTAAAAAGAGTCCTTAAAAACAGAGTGTTGAAGTAGTTGTGTTTGTGTGTTTGTCAGCGCCCTGCTCCTGTGTATCGTATCATCATGAGAGCCGGCGGATCTTCATCGGTCAGGATAATGGAGCCGTTGTGGTGAGTGTCGCTGTATCCTGAGGGCCGGAGTGTTTTGTCTTGATATTTGTTCATATGCATGTCATCAGATTAGAAGTGCACTCACACAACAACAAACATTTTTGCTAGGGGCTGCAGTTGCATGATGCTGGGAAAAAAAATACAATGTTGTTGATGAATATTGATATTTTAATATAACTTTTCCCTGGAAAAAATACAGTTTTATTAGCCGTTTTAAATCATTTATTTATTTCATTTGCATTAAGTCCTTTAGCAGATGCTTTTGTTCAAAGTGATTAAGGAAGCATTCAGCGATTCAGCAAGAAGAGGCAATTCAAAACAGAGGGAACTTTTATTAATCAGAGAATTGGGTGCTAGAGCAAGATTTTAAATGTATACATATTTATTATTATATTTTTTATAGAGAAGAGTGTTTCCACAGGTGGTTTGTCAAGCCCACTCACCTCTGTGAAGCACATGCATGCACATGCGTAAAAACAATCTATACAAAACTATTTTGTTACATACGCTCATCAGCCACTTTATTAGGTACACCTTACCAGTACCAGGTTGGACCCCCTTTTGCCTTCGGAACTGCCTTAATTCTTTCTGGCATCGATTCAACAAGGTACTGGAAATATTCCAGAGATTTTGCTCCATATTGACATTATAGCATCATGCAGTTGCTGCAGATTTGTCGGCTAAACATCTATGATGCCAATCTCCCATTCCACCACATCCCAAAAGTGCTCTATTGGATTAAGATCTGGTGACTGTTGAGGCCATTTGAGTACAGTGAACTCATTGTCATGTTCAAGAAACCAGTCTGAGATGATTCACGCTTTATGATATTGTGTGTTATCCTGCTGAAAGTAGCCATCAGAAGATGAGTACACTGTGGTCAAAAAGGGAAGGACTTGATCAGCAAAAATACTCAGGTTGGCTGTGGCGTTGTCATGATGCTCAATTGGTAGTAATACGCCCAAAGTGTGCCAAGAAAATATCAACCACACCATTACACCAACACCACCAGCCTGAACCATTGATTTGAGGCAAGATTGATCCATGCTTTCATGTTGTTCATGCCAAATTCGGACCCTACCATCCGAATGTCGGAGCAGAAATCGAGACTCCTAAGATCAGGCAACGTTTCTCCAATCTCCTATTGTTCAGTTTTGGTGAGTCTGTGTGAATTGTAGCCTCAGTTTCCTGTTCTTAGCTGACAGGAGCGGCACCCGGTGTGGTCTTCTGCTGCTGTAGCCCATCTGCCTCAAGGTTGGACGTGTTGTGTGTTCAGAGATGCTCTTCTGCAGACCTCATTTGTAATGAGTGCTTATTTGAGTTACTGTTGCCTTTCAGCTGGAACCAGTCTGGCCATTCTTCTCTGGCATCAACAAGGCATTTGCGCCCACAGAACTGCCGCTCACTGGATATTTTCTCTTTTTCGGACCATTCTCTGTAAACCCTAGAGGTGGTTGTGCATGAAAATGCCAGTAGATCAGCAGTTTCTGAAATACTCAGACCAGCCTGTTTGGAACCAATATATCGTCTTCACCATGTCTACATGCCTAAATGCATTGAGTTGCTGCCATGTGATTGGCTGATTAGAAATGTGCGTTAACGAGCAATTAGACAGGTGTACCTAATAAAGTGGCCGGTAAATGTATATATAATTTGTATCACACATACACACATTTTATATCTAAATATAAATAAGCATTTTCTCGAATCTAGGTTGTGTGTGTTTTTATATTCATAATAAATTCACACAGTTGTTCACACATATATTAAGTCAAAACAAACTTTTATTTTTGGATGCATTTTAATCATTGGTCAGCACTGATAAATGAAAATAAAAACAGCACATACAAGATACAGGATATTAAGCACTTTTGATGCTCATATTTGTGTTTAAGCAGAGTTTGTGAGTGCATGAGAGTGAGTCAGAGGTTAACACACACACTGTGCCATTTCTCTCTGTCTTCTGCAGGAGTTCCTCATCTCAGAAGACTTGAACAAAATGAACCATGTTAAAACATACCCAGGTAAAAGCAGAGGCTTATGGGAAGTGAATGAAGCGTTTTTTCCTTTAGTGCACTAACACACTTCTGATGCTGGGCTGGGTTTCCCTTCTGCGTGCGTGCGTGTGTGTGAGTGCGTATGTTTATTGTGTGTACTGTATTTTGCTTGTTAGTGTGATTTAGGTGCATGTGTGTTTTGTACATACTGTGTGCTTGTTAATGAGTGTTAATGAGTGTGTGATTGAGGTGTTTGTGTGTACTGTGTGTGTGCTTGTTATTGTATGTGTTTTTGAGTGTTTGAACTGTGTGTGTGTGTTTGTGTGTTCTGAATGTGTGCTAGGTAGTGTATGTGTGTTTGTGTAAACTGCGTGTGTGTGTATGTGTGTGAGTGTATGTTTGTGTGTACTTGTTAATTTGTGTGTGTGTGTGTGTGTGTGTGTGTGTGTGTGTGTGTGGGTGGTTGGGTGGATCTGTGTGTAACTTTTTGTGTGTGTTTTTCTGTGCAAATGTTTGCCTGTGAATCCATGTGTAACTGTATATCTGCATGAGTGTGTATCTCTGTATGTGTGTGTGTCTGTGTATCCATGTGTATATGTTTTTGTGTGTACTGTATGTGTGTTTAAGTTTATGTATGTTTGTGTGCTTCGTACTGTGTGCGTGTCTGTGGTTTGTGTGTATTGTATGTGTGCTTGTTAGTGAGTGTGTGTGTTTGAGGTGTTTGTGTATTGTTTGTTGTTGTTTGTGTGTTGTTTTTGTGTGTGTGTGTGTGTGTGTGTGTGTGTGTGTGTGTGTGTGTGTTTCCTGTGCGTGTGTGTTTATATGTAATTCTCTGTGTGGGTTGGTGGGTCTGTGTGTAACTGTGTGTGTATCTATGTGTGTATCTGTGTATGTGTTTATCTGTCTAAGTGTGTATCTATATGTAAATCTGTGTGTGTGTGTATCTGTCTGAGTGTGAATCTGTATGTTAATCTGTGTGTGTGGGTGGATCTGTGTGTAAGTTTGTGTGTGTTTTCTGTGTGTGTGTGTGTGTGTGTCTATATGTAATTCTATGTGTGTGGGTGGGTGAATCTGTGTGCAACTGTGTGTAGCTGTCTTTGTATCCGTGGGTAACTCTGCGTGTGTGTCTTTGTGCATGTTTGCGTATCTATGTGTGTGTCTATCTATATGTAACTGTGTGTGTGTGTGTGTGTGTGTGTGTGGGTAAATGGGTAAATCTGTGTGTGTATGTCTTTCTGTGTGTATGTCTGCGTATCCATGTGCAACTGTGTGTGTGTATCGTTGTGTGTATGTCAATGCATTCATGTGTAAATGTGTGTGTATCTTTGTCTGTCTGTATGTGCATGTGTGTGTCCATTTTGTCTGTGTATTTATCCATATCTGTGTGTGAAACTATTTGTATATCTGTGTGTGTGAATGTATATCTGTATCTGTTTGTGTCTTGATGTATCCATGTGTAACTGTGTGTGTTATACCCCTGTTTCCTAACACTCTCTGTGTGTGTGTGTGCTCCTCAGCTCATCAGAACCGCGTGTCAGATCTCCTGTTCTCTCTGGAGAGTCAGTGGCTGGTCAGCACGGGTCATGATAAGAGCATCAGCTGGATGAGCACTCAGAGCGGCTCTATGCTGGGACGCCACAGCTTCGGCTCCTGGGCTTCCTGTTTACAGTATCCTTCCCTTCAGACCAGTCTCTCGACGCTTTCTTTTACTCTAACTCTATATTTAGATCGCTCTCTGTGTGTCTCCTGAGCTTTCTGTTGTGTGCTAATGGATATAATAGGATTGAGGTGTTCATATTTTACAGATGAAGTATTTAATCACTGAAATGTTTTTAAAAGTATTATCAAAAGTTCAGTTCTGCAGGATTCCAGATTAAATTAATTTTTTTTGTCAGCTCCATTAGTTTGTGTTTGTACAGTTTTGTTTTGTCTTTAGATATTGTAAGCACTAGTACAGTGCTGGAAAATGTGTACACCTCTGCTCACCAAGGCAGTTTTCAGTTTGATCACAAATACCATGAAAACAGTAACAGGCCACTTTATTAGGTACACCTGACTAGTTCCGTGTTGGACCCGCTTTTGCCTTCAGAACTGCTTTAATCCTTCGTGGCATAGATTCAACAAGGTACTGGAAATATTCCTCAGAGATTTTGCTCCATATTGACATGATAGCATCATGCAATTGCTGCAGATTTGTCAACATTTCACCACATCCCAAAGGTTATTAGAAATTTGTGTTAACGAGCAGTTGGACGGATGTACCTAATAAAGTGGCCGGTGAGTGTAGATTAATATATATTTAGTTTGTAATTATTTCTGTGATTCAAATTCATTTTTTAGGTTGGCTGAATTTACTATATTGAATTAGTTCTAAAAAAATTAAATCAATTATTTTATTAAATATATATTTTTTTATACCCTAAACTAAAAGTTAAAAGAAGCATACGATTCTGCTCATGCATACTTCTGTATATGGACTGTCTTTTTTTCTCTGATCTGTGTTGTTTCTTGACCTCTATGTGTAGATATGATAATGATACTCAGCATGCCTTTGTGGGAGATTATTCAGGTCAGATCACTCTACTGAAACTGGATGAACACTCGTGTTCCGTCATCACCACGCTAAAGGGACACGAAGGTAAAACACCTACAAACAAAAACACAAGGACATTGTGTAGCTCATTAGCTTTTTTCAGAAATGATTTATATCTTTGCGGATGTCCAAAAAGTTCATTTAAAAATAAAAGACATTGTTTTAATGAAGTGTAAAATTATTTTGCTTTTTGTCAATGTATACGGCACACAAGTATATCCAAGTGTCTCCTGTTAGCTGCTCTCACTGTTATTGTGAAGGAAAAGAAACCGATTTCACACCTGAGCTTTTGATTGAACACCATACAGTAACACTCGTCTACCATTTCATTTTCAGACTTGTTTCATTGGCATGACAATTGTTACAATGTATTGCCAAAGAATTTATAATGTTTATATTAAACTTATGAAAGCAAATTAGAAATCCGGAATGATTGAAATTATGACAATGATATTAGATATGGATGGATGGGTTGGTATATAGAAAGATAGATAGATGCATAAATGGATGATATTGGATGGATAGAGGAATAAATGCATATATAGATACACGGATTGGATGAATGGATAGATGTGTAAATGGTTGATAGATGCATGGATGGATAGATGGATAAATGGATGGATGGATGGATGGAAACATGTATGGATGGATAGATGGATAGATAGATAAATGGATATATCGATGCGCGGATGGATGATGGATACATGGATAGATGGATGGATAAATGGATAGATAAATGCATAGACAGACAGACAGACAGACAGACCTGTCTGTGTCTCAATTCAGTTCCAATGATCTTTACTGGCATGATGTTAATTATTGCCAAGGCGCTTGATGTTATGTAGATGATGGATACATGGATGGATGGAAGATACATAGATTCATGGATGGATGGATGGATAGATACATATATAGAGACATAGATTGGCTGGATCGATGGATGGATAGATGAATAAAGGGATCAATAGCTAGATGCATAGATAGATAGATACATGGATGGATAGATGCGTAAATGGATGATAGATGCATAGATGGATTGATGGATGAATGGATAGATAGATGCATAGATACATGGATGGATGGATACATGGATGAATGTATAGATAGATGGATAGATAGATAAATGGGTAGACAGATCAATGCATAGTTGGATGATGGATAGATACATGGATGGATGGATGAACAGATGGATAGATAGATGTGTAGATGGATTGATAGATATTTAGATGGATAAAGGGATGGATGGATGGATGGATGGTTGGATAGATACATATATGGATGGATGGATAGATAGATGGATTGATAGATAAATGGATATATCGATGCGCGGATGGATGATGGATACATGGATAGATGGATGGATAAATGGATAGATAAATGCATAGACAGACAGACAGACAGACAGACCTGTCTGTGTCTCAATTCAGTTCCAATGATCTTTACTGGCATGATGTTAATTATTGACAAGGCGCTTGATGTTATGTAAACAATCACTAAGATAATGTCTATTAAAAATGTGTGTGTGTGTATGTGTGCAGGTAGTGTTGGAGCGTTATACTGGGATCCGGTTCACAGGTGGCTGTTTTCCGGAGCGTCTGATCACAGTGTGATCATGTGGGATATCGGCGGCAGACAGGGACGCACATTACTACTGCAGGGACACCAGTGAGAATATATCGCACTCACACCCACATAAATACACAAACTCTTCCACATGCATAATAATGTTTTAGAACCATTTGAAAACGCCCCCTTTAGGCTTTGATCCTAACTGTGGTGTTTTGGTGACTGTTGCTTTAAATTCAAATGAGATTGTGCTCTTTTCAAAAGAGGGTGGAGCTACAAATGCTTGTGTCAACATATTGGCAGATTCAAAAAATAGAATAGCGTCCTATGCTAATGAGGGAGAGGTTGTCACTAGTAGGCGGGGTTTTCCCCTGCCAATGACAAGTACAAAGGGAAAATGTCAATCAAAATGATTCTGCAGACTGTTTACATCAAGTATAAAATTCACAGACTGCTGCCACACAACTGTTTACTCCACTAATAAAAGTGATTTTCGCATAATAGGCCCCCTTTTAAATATTACATTAAAAGTAAAACATTAAAAATATATACACAATTTCGGAAAAATATAATTTTTATTACATTAATGCAGCCTTGATGAGCAAAAGATACATTTTAAAAAACCAACCTTACACAATTGAACAGCGGTGCATGCAGGAAATCTGTTTAGCTACACAGTCACGTTCTCTTATTCTCTCTCTCTGCTTTGACTTGTCAGTGAGAAGGTCCAGGCGTTGCGGTATCTGCCTCTGACCCGTCAGCTCGTGTCCTGTTCTGCTGATGGAGGAATAACCGTCTGGAACATGGACACAACAAGACAAGAGGTACTGCAGAACTGAGAAAACGCACACACACACTGCACTGCACTGCTCTTACTATAGACCATTTCAATGTTGCGATGTCATTGGCACATGAATATTTCCTGCTTGTTATCAAACTATTTTATAACTTTAACAAGAAGCAATTCGATCATAACTTCATGTTAAACAGCTATCATGACATTATTAAGACTTTGGATTCTCTGGAGCTATAAACGAATTACCAGGCAGAAAAAAAAACAGGAGCGCTAGCATTTACAGCGAGGCAATGACATCCGATGCGGTACAGTTTGTTGTAGAGATCTGCGCGGGACTAAATTTTGAATCACTATACTTATGATGTATGAATCAGATTTTCTGGCAAATTAATTGCTTAGAATTTTGACACAGTATTATCACAATATTGGCCTAATCTGCAAATATTAAGTACTTTTATTGTATTATTTATTGCTGTATTGTGTATACAGTTGATGTCAGAATTATTAGCCCCCCATATTTTCTGTTTATGGGAAAGATTTTTTTTTCAACGCTTTTCCAAACATAATAGTTTTAATAACTCATTTCTTGAGTTACTTGCGCTTAAAGAGCGGGTTGGACTGTAGCGAGACAGAAGGCTGGTCAGATAAACAGAAGCTAGATTTTTTTTAAAGCTTTATAGGTAAGAAGCAATATTTTAGAATCAATACGGAACTTAACAGGCAGCCAGTGAAAGGAGGATAAATTATTGAAAACAAATATTGCAAGAACCTTATTGTAAAGCATGTAAACAAAATGCATATAAATAATCAATTTTAGCTTGTAAGTAGGCTAGATGTGAAACGTGAATGATTGAAAATTAAGCATTTGGAGCTGGTGAAGAAAACCACTGCAAATACAATGTTAATATTCTTTAAAAGCTATTTTTATTTCAATTTTAAATAATAGATTGCATTTTGAAGTGGCCTCTATTAATATTGTGCACATTATGACGTTATATTCAATATATCATGTTTAATCAGCTTGTGTGCTTGAAGAAACCCAATTGTCCAAGCTATAATAGCACATTCTGCATGCAACCAAATATCATGTGAATTTATCAGTGTGTAAAACTGCTTTCAAGTGTATCAAGTAAATCTCTGCAGCAGTACTTTTTTATTATTACAAATTGTGCTTCACTTTTCATATGTCCCAGTGAAAATCAATCTACAGTTGATGTTAAAATGATCAGCCCAATGATAATACAAGTTCATGAAAACTTTGGCTGAAAATATTAGAGAAATAAAAACTTTGTTAGAGTAGTTTATATTACTTTTTAAGAAAACAAAAACACAATGAATATACATAATACACTCACTGGCCACTTACTATTAACAGTTTGGACCCCCTTTTGCCTTCAGAACCGTCTAATCTTTCGTGGCTTAGATTTAACAAGGTACTGGAAATGTTCCTAAGAGATTTTCCTCCATATTGACATGACAGCATCACACAGTTACTGCAGATTTGTTGGCTGCACATCCATGATGCGAATCTCCGGTTCCACCACATCCTAAAGGTGCTCTATTGGATTGAGATCTGGTGACTGTGGAGGCCATTTGAGTACTCATTGTCATGTTCAACCAATGACTGTAAAATAAATATGGACGACGCGACAGCCCCTTTTCCCATTGAACGCCTTGAGGGCAAAACGCCTGCTTGACGGGCACAAACTGTCGCAAAAGACTGCTGAAATTGGAGCCTTGACATGCGCAGAAGGACTGTCGGATGGAGCCAGAGGAGGAGCCGCGAAAATGAGCGGAGTCGAGCTTCCAACCAAACGCTTTATGTAAAATAAACCACGCCCCCCGAACTTCTCAGCATGCGTTTGCTGTCATATCAACACAAATGGATGTAATAACGTTAACAAATATGAGGGTTTTATATATTTAATCGCGCCAGCTCCAGGCCGCAACGCACATATCCTACTCGCGGCGTCGCGGGCTGATTCCGGCTCGCATGCGGCAGCGCCGGCTCGCTCGGCCGCCGCATCTGCTCGATTGACTCGGGCTGAAATCGGGCAGTGAGTCCAGGCATCCGGAGTAGGTCCAGCAGAGATAGTCAGTCTGAGCTCTGAGAGGTAAGTCTCCGGCAGGCGAGAATCTAGCCGGAACTAGCCCAAGTGTATTTTGCTAACTGGGTGGTTAGGCGTGTATCAGCAAACTAATAAAGCCCGATAAAGCCCTGACCTTAGCGAATAAACAGTGTTCCACCAGGATCATGTATGTCAGAAACTGTAGTTTACTGCTGAACTCATTTTGTCATGGTAAAATAACACAGAAATCGAATAATAACACTTCAGTCTTCTGCCGAATCTCAGACGCGCTGCTTTGAGAAACTGTCAATCACAGCTGTCAATCACGATGACACGCCCAGCATTAAATTACTGCTAAAAACAAACTGTTTACAAAAATGATGATCTGCACCTATTTCAGCACAATAACCAGTGCCTTAATCGACCAGAACCATCTTTCGGGACATTTTATTGCAAGTGTAATAAATTTTTTTATTTGGGCTCAAGTCTCTTTCATTAACACGGAGGAGGCGGGCTTTATGACTTGTACTGCAGCCAGCTCCCAGGGGGCGATCTAACGGCCGAGACCTTCACTCAAACGCAGGCTTGCGGCACACTTGTGTTCAACACACCAATCTGAGCTTATTCACGCTTTATGGCATGGAGCGTTATGCTGCTGGAAGTAGCCATCAGAATTGCGAGAATTGGAGTGGCACCCGGTGTGGTCTTCTGCTGCTGTAGCCCATCTGCCTCAAGGTTGGACGTGTTGTGTGTTCAGAGATGCTCTTCAGCGAGTGGTTATTTGAGTTACTGTTTCCTTTCTATCAGCTGTAACAAGTCTGGCCATTTCTCCTTTGAGCTCTGGCATCAACAAGGCATTTGCGCCCACAGATCTGCTGCTCACTGGATATTTTCTCTTATTCAGACCATTCTCTGTAAACCCTAGAGATGGTAATGTGTTAAAATCCAAGTACATCAGCAGTTTCTGAAATACTCTGACCACACCGCCTGGCACAAACAACCATAAAAAAATAAACTAAAACACTGTCCAACTATAGTGATGCGTATTGCTATATTTTGTTACGTCAATACTTCAAACACTTATCTCTGTTTGCTTGCATGTATTTGTAAACTGCAGTTAAGTAATAAAACAACTTTTCAACAGTTTTCAACATCTTTTGCATCAATTTATTGAAAAAAAAGTATTAATAAGCAGCATCACAATCTGTATTGATATCAATGAAGTGTAAATGATACCCAGCGGCTCAGATTTGTGTTTTTATTTTTCTCTGTGAATCATTCAGGCTCCTCAGTGGCTGGATAGCGATTCCTGTCAGAAATGTGAGCAGCCGTTTTTCTGGAATATAAAGCAGATGTGGGACACAAAGACTTTGGGGCTCCGACAGGTACTGAGAAACAACACTGTTAAAAGATGGGCTGTGCAAGTAATCTAATGTAATTGTCGTGCATTTTTGTCAATAATATCCAAATCAGTTGTTGTTTTTCTTGGTCTTTTTTTTGCCCTATTAATTATTAACAGAACCTTTGGTGCTTTCTTGATTTTAATAAGTCATCTCCTGTTCTCAGCATCACTGCAGGAAGTGTGGGAAGGCGATTTGTGGGAAATGTAGTTCCAAGCGCTCCACGTACCCCATCATGGGCTTTGAGTTCCAGGTGCGCATGTGTGACGACTGCTTCAACACCATCAAAGAGGACGAGTGAGTGGCTTTTACTCAGTTTATCTCCTTCTGTATTGCTGGTTTTACCCAACATGTGAATCTATTTCTACTTGAGTTAATCTACTGTTGTTTTGGGCTGCAGTCGGACTCCACTGGCCACGTTTCATGAGGGGAAACACAGCATCGCTCACATGGATATGGACCCCAACCGAGGACTGATGGTCACGTGTGGCAGCGATCGAGTGGTCAAGGTGAAACACTGCAGCTTCATCTATTTTTCTTCTGGTGTTTAGTATTGTACAGATGAAGTCTGAATTATTAGCCCTCCTGTGATATTTCCCAAATAATGGTTAACAGATTTAGGAAATTTTCACAGTATTTCCTATAATATTTTTTCTTCTGGAGAAAGTCTTATTTCTTTTATTTCTGCTAGAATAAAAGCAGTTATTATTGTTTTAAGAAACATTTTAAGGTCAATATTATTAGCCGTCTTGAGCAATATTTTTTTCGATTGTCCACAGACCAGTCATCGCTTAAAGGGCCATGAAACCCCCTCGTTTCATTAGGGTGTTTTCACACCTCTACTTTGGAAAAAGTCAGAAAAGTGGGCGTGTCCAGCTCTGTTTAGGGGGGAGTGTCAGAGGAACTAAAGTGGGATGGGATGGTGTGGGAGTGTCTATTTGGGCACGCGCGAGTTTCAGAGTCGAAACACACACACACACACACACACACACACACACACACACACACACACACACACACACACACACAAACATGGGAGAAAGTGACTGTGTTTACATGGACATCTGTAGTCGAATTATTTGCCAAATTATTAAATGTTGGACTTTAACTGCAGTTTGGCTCTTTCAATTAGGGAGTTCATTCATGCCTCGCGACAAACGAGATATTTGATTCAAGGAACTGCTCTAAGCGTGTATTTTTCATGCAATGTTTGATACCGCACGGCGAATGAGAGAAAAAAACCTCTGCATTTCCCGGAAACTTAGATGCACACAGCAGGTAGTGTCAGAAAGCCGCGTGTGTTATTCCGGTCACAAAATGCAGTAAAAACCTTACATGAGGTTAAAGTTTGGTTGTTGTGCTAACATGTTTACACTCGGTGCAATAGTATACTTAGTTCGATACGAATAAACTGAATAAACAAAGAGCACTGGTCGCTCACTTACCAAATCTGTAGAGACAGGACAATCACCAGCAACTAGAGCCGCGTCTTTATTAAGAGGAGACTACAAGCCAATCCGGATCTCAGCGTTTGCAGATGAGAACAGCTCTCAGGTAAACAATAATCCTCCTTAGACACGTAAGTTAAGTTATTGTTGTCGAGCGTCGCGTAAACTGTTAATCCACACGTGAGTCCAGCTGCGCTCTCACAGAGAGAAAATGAAAACAAAACTTAACTGCAGTAAACTATAAAAGCAACACTTCACGCTTGTTTTGCCAATACAACATGGTGTGTCTGTCGTCTAAACACTGTGACAGTAATGAATATTAATGAAGTTGCACAATAGAGCGCGCTGATTGGTTTTGAACCAAGCCTTACTCATGCATTAATGCATCACACTGTAAGACGTAATAAGACACACTCGTGCACAGACGTCCAGTCTGCACGCTGGAATACACGCTATTATGTCATGGCCGTGACGCAGCTTCAAAAATTAGTTTCAAACCGGAAGTACGAAATTGCTTGAAATAACGCAAAAACAACCAATTTACACTTTTTAGTGAAATATAGGTGCCCTAATATTGTTTTTAGCAGTGTGGGACACATATACGACTGTCAACAGCTCAAAAAATGTGTTTTGGTGTTTCGTGACCCTTTAAATTTAACCGTGGCCTGTGGAGGTGTTGGTTATGTGTAGATTGCTAGGCAACCATCAACGTTTTCTCAGGGGTTGACAAGCAGACAAAACATTACTGCAGCTTTAATACAAGTTTTATCCATGGAGAAAATTAAAAAGCACTGCAGTATTTGGGTAATTAGGCTACTGAAGTGTGTATATTCCATACAAAGTATAAAGCTGATTGGTCGGTTCTTGTCACACGTTGCACTGCTTATGCGTGTTGCTCCATTAAGCGTGCTCAAACCGCATGCCTCCATTGGAAATAACGAACTTGCGTGTGGAAATACGCAATATGTGGACAACCCCTCAAGTTGCCGTCATTTGCGATCCCCAGTGGTTGGTCTTCCTGCACAGACATGGTGGATTCACCTAATTTGTTGACAAATGGGTTGCGGATCTATTCCTTGACAGCTCATGAGTCCTTCATATGACCTATTCCCCTTCACAAAGAAACTATTGAAGGATGTCTGTTTTTGCTAGCTTGCGTATTAAATTTTGGCAATCAAGTGACAGATGTAACCAATAATATATGGTCATTTTTCAAAATAAAAGACTGTTCAGATTTAACAAAACAGAAATATTGATCCACAGACCAGTACCAATCTGCAACCCTGGGGTTGGGGACCACTGGTCTACAGAATAAATCACTGTTGTACAATGACTTGCCTAATTAACCTAGTTAAGCCTTTAAATGTCACTTTAAGCTGTATAGAAGTGTCTTGATAAATCAGTGATTAGAAATGAGTTATTAAAACTACTATGTTTACAAATGTGTTGAACAAATCTTCTCTGTTAAAGAGAAATGGTGGAACAAATCAACAGGAGGGCTAATAATTCTGTCTTCGACTGTATATAAAGTAACATGCAATTATTGTATTGTGTTATTTCTTCAGTTTCAATAGTAATACAGTATGTGGACTTTTATATGCATATATTATCCAAATCTTCAACTGATTTTACCTGTGGCATGCACACATAATCCAACAGTGCATACAACAAAGTGCAACAATGTTTGTTTTGAGTTTTAATATCTCCTTCCTGACTTTATATTATATAATAAAATTATATTATATAAAAATTAAGTATAATATTATCTATATGATTATTATATTGTACACCTTTAGAAATAAAGGTACATGAGCTGTCTCTAAGTTGGGAAATTTTCAGAAGATACACATTTATACCTAAAGGGTCCATATTGGTACCTCAAAAGCATATATTAGTACCAGAAAATTTTAAGAGGAACACTTTTGTACTTTTTAGTTACTAATATGTACCCTTGAGGTATTAATATGGACCTTATCAAAAGGTATTCTCCCCGGTGACAGCTCACACTGTCAGAACTAAAGGTATGTATTTAATATTAAGTACAATATTATTATTATTATTATTATTATTATTATTATTATTATTATTATCATATTAAATATAATATTAACTGTAACATTATTATTTTATTATACTATTTTATTTATTATATTCGTTTTATTTTTTCTTTTCTCCAGAATTGTATTTAGTTATTATAGTATTTATATTAATATAGTAATGTAGAATTATTAAAAAAAATTGTAAATTCTTTTTTAATTTCTAATGTGATGACCTTTTTTACTTGAAATAAATTACTATTAATTTAATTATATGTACAAAATATTATACTAATATTTATACTATTAATCATTATTAATTATACTTTTAATTTAATTATATGTAAGATGCAGTATATGTATATATCTTTATGTATCTTTGGCTCTGGATGGCTTGTCCTCCAGGAGCGCTACCCTGTACTAAAATGGCAGCTCTATTGACGCATTCCTTCCAATAGACACCAATAGCGTAGGCGACATCTAATGTAAATATCTATGGTTCTTTTTAAATAAAAGAAAATAATTAATATTTTAAATAAAACTCTAATGGTTTCATAAATATTATGCAGTCTGTGATTCATATTGACTCATTCACAAAACATCAGATTTGCTCATAATTGTACAATAGTTTAATAATAATAATAATAATAATAACGATTTTTTTTAAATTCTGACATCTGATTGGTCCTCCATACTCAACGTCTGATTGGTTCGTCCTCAGATCTGGGACATGACGCAGGTGGTGGGCAGCAGTGTAGCAGCAGGATTCTCTCACCGCTGATTGGCTGCTTCTGACAGCCCCACCCACACTTTGCCAGCTGACTCCTCAAGGAGTGTCTTCATCATGAAAACACTCGCCTCCCCGTCAAAAATGAACACTCCAACTATGTCTAAATGTGTCTGTGTGTGTGTGTGTAAGGAGGATGATCCTTGATTTGATCAATCTGAGCGGACGTGAACTCAAGGTACTTCTAAAAGCACAATATCTGCGCTCTTTCTGTGTTTGTGGCTGAAGGTTTTATCTATCTGTAAGTACCACACAAACACAACACGCTTCGTTTCTCATCCAAAATCCTGCTTCTTCTTTATCCATCCTTCTTGTTTACACATTCTCCATTTCTTGAAAAAGAATGCTAGTACTTTCCATAGTAACCACCAATCATGTTACCATGGAAACAAGTGTTCCGTAGCAACCATAGAACTTTTTCAAACAAACAATTCCCTCCAAAAAAAAAAAAGAAAAAAAAAGAATCAAACAAAAACAAACAAAAGCGTGATTAAGTTCAAACTTTGAGACAGACGGTTCAGGTCAGGTAGGTGAGGGTCATTACATGTAGCGTAATCAATGATTCTGATTAAACGGATTAAGTTAGTATGTGATGTGTTGTAGTGTTCTGTTGTAAAACACTATTTATAGCATTAATCGTCATTTATTTAGGGACAAATCAAAGCCATGGTTTGCCAAATTTGTTAATTGTCAACATTTACTAGTTATTAAATCTATACTGCCAGCTTTATTCTGTGAAACAGAAATCGAGATGTTGAGCAGAATGTTAACGCTGCTCTTTCCATACAATGGAAATTAATGAGGGTAAGAGCTCCAGAACGGTTTATAAAATGAGCCCTGTGCTCTGTATATGATCAGCGATTGTTTTCAAAAATGAGAAATAATAAGAACAAACATTTATAGTAGTATTTATGACTATATTAGAGCAACTGTTCAGCCAAAAATGACATTTTATTTAGTGTTTCCTAACCTTTACGTGGCTCCAGGAGTTTTTTGTTCAGCTGACGCTTTAAATAATTGATATAAATTGACAGCCATAGTTGGAAAAATCATATTATGGTAGTCAGTGGCTACAGGTTTTCTACATTTTACAAAATACCTTCCTTTGTGTTCAACAAAAGAGAGAAATGTGCACCTGAATATTTCGTAAAGAAATCTAAATGCAAGGTATTTCACCCAACAAAACTCTTCCTTGTGTGGTTTCAAACATTTATGAGATTCTTGCTTCTGTTGAATGCAAAAGAAGATATTTAGAAAAATGTTAGTAGCTCTACTATGGAAGTCAATGGCTACCCCTTTCCAAAATTCTTCAAAATACCTTCTTTTGTGTTCAACAAAAGAGAAATTCAATTAGGTTTGGAAGAAATCCAGAATAAGTGAAAGGGGTCTGAATTTTCTTTTTTAGGTGAACTACCCCTTTAAGGATAATGATTCTTGACACAAAGCTGGGTTTTTCCCTCCAAAATGAAAATGGTCATCATCTACTCACCCTCTTGTCATTCCAGCTCCAGACGTTGTCTATCTTTAAAATGCAAATGAAGATATTCACCCAAAAATTTCATAAAGAAATCAAATTGAAATGGATTTCTCCCAAAAAAATTACTCTCCCTTGTGTGGTTTCAAACATTTATGAGATTCTTTCCTCTGTTGAACGCAAAAGAAAATATTGTGAATAATGTTCGTAGCATAAAAAAATTACTATGGAAGTCGAAGCTACCCCTTTCCAACATTCTTCAAAATATCTACATTTGTGTTCAACAAAAGAGAGATTTAAACAGGTTTGGAAGAAATCTAGAATAAGTGAAAGGCATCTGAATATTATTTTAGGGGGGAACTACCTCTTTCGAAATATTGATTCTTGACACAAAGCTGGGTTTTTCCCACCAAAATGAAAGTGGTCATTTACTCCATATTAGAGCCATTGTTCACCTAAAAATGACATTTTATTCAGTGTTTCCTAACCTTCATGTAATTCCAGGAGTTTTTTGTTCTGCTGTTGCTTTGAATAATTAATATAAATTGACAGCCATAGTAGAAAAAAAATCATATTATGGTAGTCAATGGCTACAGGTTTTCTACATTTTACCAAATACCTTCTTTTGTGTTCAACAAAAGAGAGAAACGGTGACCTGAAAATTTTGTAAAGAAATCAAAGTTAAAGGTATTTTACCCAAAAAATGTCTCTCCCTTGTGTGGTTTGGAAGAAATCTGGGATAAGTGAAAGGTGTCAGAAATTTCTTTTTTGGGTGAACTACCCCTTTAAGGATAATGATTCCTGACACAATGCTGGGTTTTTCCCTCCAAAATGAAAACGGTCATCATTTACTCACCCTTGTTTCCTTCCAGCTTCACAAGTTATTTACATTAAAATGCGAATGATGATATCTTAAACAAATAAGAGAGATTTCTGTCACTATTTTTGCAAAGTTCACCCAAATTTTTTCATAAAGAAATCAAATTGAAAGGGATTCCACCTGAAAGATTACTCTCCCTTGTGTGGTTTCAAACTTTTATGAGATACTTTCTTCTGTTGAACGCAAAAGAAAATATTTAGAAATATGTTGGTAGCCTTACGATGGAGTCAATGGCTACCCCTTTCCAACATTCTTCAAAATAACTACTTTTCTGTTCAACAGAAGAAACTCAAACAGGTTTTAAACAAGTGTAGAAAGAGTAAATTAATGTTGATTAATTAGTAAATTTCACTATGAAGTGAAATAACACCTTTTAAATGAATAAAAACACCCCAGAATTATAATTTACTCTCAATTTCTTAACCCTCAAGTAGTTCAAAACTTGTGAGTTTCCTCATTCTGTTGAGCACAAAAGAAGATATTTTGACTGAGGAATGTTGGAAGCCATTGACTTCCATAGTAGAAAAAAATGCAATGGATGTAAGTGGCTCCCAACATTCTTTGAAATATCTTATTTTGTGTTCAACAGAAGCAAGAAACTCGGGTTTGAAACAATTGGAAGGTTAATGCATGTCTGGGTGAACTATCCCTGTAATGCTTATTGCTCGAGTAAACTATGACAGAATTGATATTTGTGGATTGACATCTCTAGTGTTTATAGGCTAATAATAATTATATATAAACGTATAGCTTCGTATTCAAACTGTGGCGCTGTAACGGCTGTGATGTTTAAAATGTTAAGTTAGCATACAACTCTAACGAACATCACGCTGGCCAATGAGAACTCTGCTGAAAAATCCAGCTTAAACCAGCCTAGGCTGGTTGGCTGGTTTTAGCTGGTCGACCAGGCTGGTTTTAGAGGGGTTTTGGCCACTTCCAGGATGGTTTCCAGCTATTTTCCGCCTGGTCTTAGCTGGTACACTGAACAAAATAATTCAGAGATGATTCCTTGGATTTACTCAATTTTTTTACGTTAAGTGGTTGTAAACAATTTATTTGTTTTGAATTTAAACAAACAAATTAAGTTGAACATTATTAAACTTAATTTGTTTGTTTAAATTCAACACAAATAAATAGTTTGCAACAGTTCTGCATGCAACACTTTTTTCAGTGATAAGGCTGGAAAATGACCAGCCAAATCCAGCTAAAACCAGCTTGACCAGCCTGATTTAAGCTGGATCTAGCTGGTTTTGGCTGGACTCCCAGCTTAGCTAGGCTGGTCAAGCTGGTTTTAGCTGGTCATCTCCCAGCCTGACCAGCTAAGACCAGGCTGGAAATGGCTGGAAGTGGCCAAAACCCCTCTAAAACCAGCCTGGTCAACCAGCTAAAACCAGCCAACCAGCCTAGGCTGGTTTAAGCTGGATTTTTCAGCAGGGAAGAGTTGTTATTGTTTACAGAAATTATAGCGCTGTTATTTTTTTTTGGACATTCTTTCGACATTTCTATAGTCTGATTTTCTCTCTTCATCTCTCGGCCTCGTCTCCTTGCACTGAATTACACGTATTGTGTGTGTGTGTGTGTGTGTGTTCGCGATCTGAGGTACAAAAACAGCGACTGTGTGAGTGTTTGCTAATGTCTGCCTGTATAAAGCGCTTGCTTCACAATCTCCGTTTTGATATAACGTCTCATTGCGTGCTTTGTTCATAAATTCGTGCTCTGTTTTGTTTTCTTTTGGCTTCATGTGAAATGTAAGGATATGAATGTAAGTTGTTGGGAGCAGCGGTGTCACACAGCATATTTTGTACTTGACATCGGGGTTTTTGTGTGTGACTGACTGTAATTTCTCACTGGAGAACTGAGGGAGTTTTGCTTTCGGTTTGTTAGTTTTCTAAAAACGTGCGAGTCTGTGGTGAATCTCCTAAAATATGTATATTAATTAACATCTGTTTTGCTGAAATTGACACTTCAGGGATTCCCATCGTTTGCTGAGGTTAACCACTATGTAAAATCACTTATCAACTTATTTCTGTTCGGATGTTGAAAGCATTGTAAAGCTTGTCGCGCTGATCAAACTGTAAATAACTCTAAATGACTTAAAGATCTGATTTTCTATGCTCCTTTCTTTTCTAATTCTTACTTTTACTTCAGTAGTTGAGTAATGAAGTGTTATTCTCTCTATATATCGAGCTTCAATGCTCAAACATCTGTATTTTATATATGAAAATCACTAATATGAAAACTGACGCAAGTCTTGATGCTGGCTGATCGTTTCAGCCCAGAGATTGAGCTAAATATTACAGTAAATAAAGTTCTAAGGTGTATCTCACATGGTAAATGTATTTATTTCTTCTTTCTTTTTTTGATTGCAATGAATCCTATAGTAGTCAATGATGGAAAAAATTCTGTTTTTATTTTTTATTTTATGGAAAGTTTTTTTTTTTCCTTTTGAAACTACTTTGAAATTAATTCTTAACATTTTTATTTAAGGATGAAAAGTGGCGCAATGGGTAGCACGTTCGCCTCCACAGCAAACAGTTCACTGGTTTGAGACTGGCTGGGTCAGTTGGCGTTTCTGTGTGGAGTTTGCATGTTCCCCACAAGTCCAAAGACATGCCGTATAGGTGAATTGGGTGGTGTAAATTGTCTGTAGTGTATGTGTGAATGAGAGTGTATGGATGTTTCCCAGTGATGGGTTGCAGCTGGAAGGGCGTTCGCTGCGTAAAACATATGCTGGATAAGGTGGAGGTTCATTCCGCTGTCGTGACCCCATATTGAAAAAGGGACTAAGCCGAAAAGAAAATGAATTAATTTCATTTGAAGGGGCATGAAACCCCCTCGTTTCAGCAGGGTGTTTTCACACCTCTACTTTGGAAAGTCAGAAAAGTGGGCATGTCCAGCTCTGTTTAGGGGGAGTGTCGGTGGAACTAAAATGGGATGGTGTGGGAGTGTCTATTTGTGCACGCGCGGGTTTCAGAGTCAAAACACACACACACACACACACACAGGGGACAAAGTGACTGTGTTTACATGGACATTTGTAGTCAAATTATTTGCCAAATTATTAAATGTTGGACTTTAACTGCAGTTTGGCTCTTTCATTCAGGGAATTAA